CATCAGTGTCCTGCACTTATAAAATTAAGAACGGGAGGCATTAAGCCTTTCTATAGGGATTCACTGTAAATAACCCAGACAAATATGAAATCAATAAATCAATTTAAAAGTACATGCAGGTTTCAAATGAGCTGGTGATCTGACTTTAACCGTCTGAGTAGCAGCACTGATTATTTTGTATTTTTCATACCAAACAGAGTTCAAACAGAGCGCATTGCTGCAGCAGAGCAGGTGAACGAACGTATGTGATGAGAGGACAGAGTGTTGGTGCCCCCTTGTGTACACATAATGAACTGATTTTTTTTTTTTTGCTTTTCATTTTCTCTCTCTCTCTCTCTCTCTCTCTCTCTCTCTTTTTTTTTTTTTTTACAATGTCACAAATTTTCATGCTTTTCAAACTAGATTCACTTGAAATGAATGAGGCATTTAGCCACAAAACAAAGACAATCAGAATAAACCCAGACGAAACAGGGATACTACGAGCAACAATCTATTTGTTCAAGCAAAAAGAAACAACAAATAATAAAATGGTAGTCCGTGATTCTAATTAATGATTAAGTGGTTAAATCGACTTAAAACAACAACAACAAAAGCCTCTGATGTGTTTTAAGTGATGTCTGAAATGAGCATGTCATTTGTGATAGCTTTTTATTGAATTGCATGTTCCCACAATCAGACATCATAACCAGGCCTCACTGTGGCTGCCAACATAAAGATTTCTAATTCAAATCCATCACAAAGCCACTTAATTGACTAATATTGAACATATTATGACAGTTTTGATTAGCAGAATTTTTCCCATCAGTTTCTGTGTAGAAACTGATTAGATATCAGCTCCAAATGTTGCTTTTTTATGTATGTAAAATTGCTTATTCATATGTACGCACTTTGTTAATATTACACAGACAAGACGAAGCACTTAACATGCACAGAGTAGAATGAACTTATTTTAAATGAACAAAATAATCTGGAATTATTGGTGATACTATAAGAGGCAAATATATTTTTGTTATTCATCATATTTGTACTTCATGCCTTCTGCTTTCGCAAGGTCCTCCTGGTGTTGCTGTTATTTAAAGAATAAAACAATTTCCAACTATTTTTATTTCTAAGTCGCTTTCATAGTCTTTAAACAAGAGTTCTTTGTATGCGAGGCTATTTTTAAAGCTTGTTTTATTACATAAAAAAATGTCCATAACCTGAGGATGCATTTCCTGCAGAATAATTTTAGAAAAGTGACTTGGACTGTCCCTGCAGTCGGATGGAGGAAAATAAACGCAGCATTGTTTTCAAACCATGTTGTGTGTTTCGGGGGCGGATGTCGTGGAGCTCGCAGATGTAATGACCACCTACGTGAAGCTGACACCCCACCTACGTCATAAAATCAGCAGATAGTCTGATTGGTTAGTGCTCCGTTAGTGCAGGTTTGTGCCGTTAAAATTTTCGTTTGTGCAGCTTTGGTTTCCGAGATATTAAAAATTATTTTTTTAGGTCATCAGAGTTCACCATCCCCCCATATAGCTCCAAAACAAACCAAAGTGGGCTGGTTCGTTAGTGCTCGGTTAGTGCAGGTTTGTGCCGTTAAAATTGTCGTTTGTGCAGCTTTCATTGTTGAGATATTAAAAGTTATAATTTTGGCCGATTACGTAACCATCCCCCCATATAGCTCCAAAACAAACCAAAGTGGGCTACTTTTTTAGTGCTCGGTTAGTGCAGGTTTGTGCCGTTAAAATTGTCGTTTGTGCAGCTTTCATTGTTGAGATATTAAAGTTATAATTTTGGCCGATTACGTAACCATCCCCCCATTACGCACCAAAACAAACCAAAGTGGGCTACTTTTTTAGTGCTCGGTAGTGCAGGTTTGTGCCGTTAAAATTGTCGTTTGTGCAGCTTTCATTGTTGAGATATTAAAAGTTATTTTTTTAGGTCATCAGAGTTCACCATCCCCCCATATAGCTCCAAAACAAACCAAAGTGGGCTGGTTCGTTAGTGCTCGGTTAGTGCAGGTTTTGTGCCGTTAAAATTGTCGTTTTGTGCAGCTTTCGTTGTTGAGATATTAAAAGTTATAATTTTGGCCGATGACGTCACCACCACCCCCATACAGCCCCAAAACAAACCAAAGTGGGCTACTTTTTTAGTGCTCGGTTAGTGCAGGTTTGTGCGTTAAAATTGTCGTTTGTGCAGCTTTCATTGTTGAGATATTAAAGTTATTTTTTTAGTCATCAGAGTTCACCATCCCCCCATATAGCTCCAAAACAAACCAAAGTGGCTGGTTCGTTAGTGCTCGGTTAGTGCAGGTTTGTGCCGTTAAAATTGTCGTTTGTGCAGCTTTCGTTGAGATATTAAAAGTTATAATTTTGGCCGATGACGTCACCACCACCCCCATACAGCCCCAAAACAAACCAAAGTGGGCTACTTTTTTAGTGCTCGGTTAGTGCAGGTTTGTGCCGTTAAATTGTCGTTTTGCAGCTTTCATTGTTGAGATATTAAAAGTTATTTTTTTAGGTCATCAGAGTTCACCATCCCCCCATATAGCTCCAAACAAACCAAAGTGGGCTGGTTCGTTAGTGCTCGGTTAGTGCAGGTTTGTGCCGTTAAAATTGTCGTTTGTGCAGCTTTCGTTGTTGAGATATTAAAAGTTTAATTTTGGCCGATGACGTCACCACCACCCCCATACAGCCCCAAAACAAACCAAAGTGGGCTACTTTTTTAGTGCTCGGTTAGTGCAGTTTTGTGCCGTTAAAATTGTCGTTTGTGCAGCTTTCATTGTTGAGATATTAAAATTTATAATTTTGGCCGATTACGTAACCATCCCCCCATTACGCACCAAAACAAACCAAAGTGCGCTACTTTTTTAGTGCTCGGTTAGTGCAGGTTTGTGCCGTTAAAATTTTCGTTTGTGCAGCTTTCATTGTTGAGATATTAAAATTTATAATTTTGGCCGATTACGTAACCATCCCCCCATTACGCACCAAAACAAACCAAAGTGGGCTACTTTTTTAGTGCTTGGTTAGTGCAGGTTTGTGCCGTTAAAATTTTCGTTTGTGCAGCTTTCGTTGTTGAGATATTAAAAGTTATAATTTTGGCCGATTACGTAACCATCCCCCCATTACGCACCAAAACAAACCAAAGTGCGCTACTTTTTTAGTGCTTGGTTAGTGCAGGTTTGTGCCGTTAAAATTTTCGTTTGTGCAGCTTTCGTTGTTGAGATATTAAAAGTTATAATTTTGGCCGATTACGTCACCATCCCCCATTACGCACCAAAACAAACCAAAATAGTCACCCGGTAGTGCTAGGTTTTGCGGCTGTCCCTTAGGAGATGTTTTCTTTCAGATTACAACTGACTACACCTCAATAGATGACTGTGGCCTGCGTTGGACATAACCACAAAGCATGCTGTCATAAATTTCTTATGTCATTGTGTCAGTTAAGTTCTGCAGATTTTCAGCTGTTGTACAATGTACCTTTCTTTGTTTTGAACTTCAATAAAGCTTTAGAAAAAGAACAAAATGTCTCATTTTAATAAATGTATTACAGTAATTTTTTTCACCAATATAGCTCTCTCCAATAATTGAATCCTGTCAATAGAGGACATATGTAATGTGTATAAGCTGTATGACTGTTCAACTGTGCTTTGGTTTTGGAGGTGATCTGAACATCAACAATTATATTGGCATTGTTGACGTCTTCTGATTATGCATTTTAAAAAGGATTTTGTGAAAATCTATAGCTAACATGCTAGCTGTTTGAGCAAATAAATTTTTTGGCCTAGTAAAACCGGAAGTGCACGGCAGCTTCCTTGGTTGAACAAAGTTCATCCAGGTAATGTAGCCTACTTAATATTTAGTAAATATATTTTAAACCCAACGAGTTTCATTTAATACAATTTATGACACAAAATGTATGTGCATGGGTTTCAAGTACTTTTAAAAATACATAAAATGTTTCGGCAACTTTTACGTAGTTGTGGCTACGTAAGCTTGGCTCCACCCACACTGCACTGAGTCCCCCTCCTCCACCTTCCCTTGTTTTTGTGGAGTAGCAAGTGTAATTTCAACCGATCGTGAAAAGTTAGCTAGCAGTCTGAAAGAAATCGTTTTGAAAAAGTAATCTTTGGAATTTTTCCAACCCTCTGATTTTGATTTTCCAACAAGGTAAGTAAACTAATCCTCAGTTTTATGTAAAATATTGACTCAATCCACCCATAAAAGTTGAGATTTATATATGGAAAGCTTACATATGCATTTATTTAAATTCACAACTTATATTTCAAGTATTGACACATAGATAGTGAGGCATTTTCTTTAAGCCTTTAAATTTCATCATGAACACTTAAAGGGCACATCTTCTGAACTCAAATAAAATATAATTTATTCCAAAGGGAAATTAAAATTTAACAAGTACTTAAATTGCCAATTCAAGAGTCGTAACAATGCATTCTTGAATGTATATATATATATATATATTAGTTAATTAGTAGAAATATAGTTAAATAGTAGAAATGAAATTGGGGAAGCCAACATAAGTTTTTTTAGTTTAAGAGTTTTGTAATTTACAATGCTAAAATATCAATGTTTTGTGGCTTTTTAAAAATTATTTAGGCCAGAATTATTACTTTGAGCAATACTAATCAAAGTCTTTTTGTTTTTTAACTAGATGCCTCGACAGCCAGCCGTAGACAGAGAGTCTCTTTTTGCATTTCTCTGCAAGGCAAAAGAGGCTATCCTAGAAAACGGCAATATAGCCACTCCAGCTGCTACTGTCTGGACAGAGCTAAGTCAGCAGTTGGAAAACAAAATGTCAGCAAAAGCCCTATACACTTTTGTGAAAATGAACAGACACAACATCTGGGCAACATTAGAAATAAATGTTCAAGAAAGTGACACTGAAAGCCCTGTGGACACAGAGTGTGAATCTGGCACCACTTCTGGACAACTTTCAGATTTTCAGGTTGAAGTTCCATTTGAAGAATGGGTTAAATTTATCCTGAAACTGTTGAATACAACGACCAGTTTTCATCATCTGGCAAAAGAAGCTACACAATTTTAAAACCTGGCACTTGGACTCATATCATTAATGATCTGGTGTGGAAAAAATTAAAACACGGTTGTACTTTTGTATTCCAAAGAGCAAAAGTTTATCCAACGGTCACTAATAAGTACATCGACATCAAAGGCTTCTGTAAAGACTGTCAAGGCCATGTTACAATGACATGCGACAGCAAGCCAGCGGTCAACAGCCCAATGGTGCTCCAGTGTTCCATCGAAGGTGCTGACATCTCCCTGCACACTGGCCAGTCCAAAAGATTCATGTCAGGAACCCTTCGTGCACAAATTTCAAAAGAGCTGTGTGAGGGTAGGATGGAGCCAGCTGTATGGAGGTCAGCAAAGGCATCAGAGTTGATGGCTTTTGGAGATCCCGAACCAAGCCACCTTCCAAACCTTGCAACCTTACGAAAAGCCAAGCAAGAGAGAAAAGACTTGGAATTAGGCGACAAAGACCCCATTCTATCTTTGCAGTTATTAAAATATAGCACACCCAACAGTGGCAGTATAAGAGATATTGGTCTGGATAAATTCTTTTGTCACTATTGGAGTCAAACCCAGATACATGTTTATAAGGCTGACCAAAAAATGTCCCTCAGTAGTTTGCTTTGATGCAACTGGTTCAGTCGTCAGAAAACTCACACGACCAAATGGTAAATCTGGCCACATCTTCTTATATCAAGGTGTTCTGAAGGGAGACAACTGCTCAGTCCCAGTGGTACAAATGCTATCAGAAAGACATGACATTAATGCAATTGCAACATGGCTGACAGACTGGCTTCGTTCAGGTGCAGCTGTACCAAAAGAAGCTGTGAGTGACTTTTCCCTGGCTATTCTAGGTGCTCTGGTGAAGGCCTTCACTCCTCTTTCTGACCTGAAGTCATACATTGATGAATGCTTCCGTGTGCTACGTGGGAACCAGTCTGCAAAACTTCCTCCCTGTTACATCAGGGTTGATGTTGCCCACTGCATAAAGATGGTATGCCAGTGGGACTGCCTGAAAAAGAAGTCACACCGTGTCAAAGACTTCTTTGTCAGGAATAGCAAAGCTTCTTCAAGCACAAAGCTTGGACCATGCAAAGCAGCTAATACATGCCATCACTGTTGTGGCTCTCAGTGAGGCAGAAGGTGATGATAGCTCTGGAACCCCTCTTGAGTCAGAGAGGTGCAAAAAATACCTGAAAGCACAGATTGCAGAAGACTCCATCATCATTCCAGAAGAAGATGCACAGGAAGTGCATCAAGTCGATCCATGTGATGACTTCCAGACTGACCTACGAGACTGGGTGTCAAACATTTGTGAGGAGAGCAGGACACACGCTGCATCTAATGGGGATAGGGATAACATCCATTTCCTCCCTGAGATTGTTCCACACATTATAAGACTTGCAAGTTACTTACCACTGTGGACAGGAATAATGGTTCCCCTCTTCAAAAGTACCAGCCTCACAGCAAGCTCAGCCAATGTTGAAGCAGAATTCAAAAATGTAAAAACATGGCCTCTTCAAACATGATAACTTACCCATTCGAGTCGACCGCTTCATTTCTAGGCATCTTTCCTTCATCGAAGGAAATATGCGGATTTGCTCTGCAAAAGCACAACAGGAGGAGGGACAAGTTGCATCAGCAGAAGTTACAGAAGCTGACCCTGCATCCATAATTACCCACAATGCAGAAGGTAGCAGAAACATGAATTTGAGCGATGTGATGGAATCGGAAGCCACCAGAAACCTTTCCACTGCAGATGAAAACGCGGTTGAAAAACTGGAGAGGACAAATTCTTCCACCCAAAAAGAGGAATAGGTCTTCATACCTGAGTTCCTGCACTGAATGGCTCCATGCAGATTCATCATCTGGGGCCAAAAGAGTGAAAGTGGGACTATTGAAAAATGGAAACATGCATCAGCCTGTTAAAGTTGGGACATTGTCACTCTCTGTGTTAAACACCTGCTCCTTTGATGCCTTTTGTCAGTGCTTATGCTGTACTTTCTGTGACAGCTCTGCATTTCAAAATATTGTCATGAATGACAGTGATGACCCACTCTTGCAGCTGGTGAAATCCATAGCTACAGATGGTGTGACCCCGAAGACATACTTGCAGAGGGCAGATCTGCTTAGTTCAATGTTTGCAAAAACACAGTTGAGGTCTGGCGCCCACCAAATTGATGCACAGTGCAATATTTCCACTATTATTGGGAAGACAATGAGAAATGTATCAAGCGTTTACCTCTCAAAACACTGCTCTTCACAATACTGCCACCTAAACAAAGGAATGACGAGGGAAGTACCATTCTTTTACCTGACATTTCTGTCCTGAAGAATTCTGGCATGACTCAGCTTGGCACTTCAGTAGAAAAAGGACTCCTCCTTCCACAGTCTCCCTGTCTCCGACCACTGGAGAATGAATCAGAATGCCCATCTGAATTCAAAACAGTAGCCAGGAACTCAGGAAACGTTCTCTGTGCAGGAACTGTTACTCACACCTACAGCTTTGGAGGAATACTATGGGTTGACACTGACCTTTCAAACCCAACAGAATTTGCGTTAAGTGAATTTCCCTCCACTATGGTTCTCCAAGAAAAAACACTAACTTTGAGAGGAATCGTTGCTTTCAGGGGAAGCTTGACCAAAGATGGCCTTGGACATTACACTGCATACTGCCGGAGAGCTCCATCTGTGTGGGAGCTTTATGATGACCTTGCCAATATCATGAAGACAGTGTCTGAAACAAACAAAATACTTCCACATGCAGTGCTATACACAGCAGATCTGTGATAGAAAAAAGTTGGGGAGAAAGTTTGAAGAGAGCAACATACCATGTTTACATACCCCTGATCAGACTTTTTTTTCCTTTTTGCAAGTTCTTATGTGGAAAAGGATTTGATATTTTGAGTTTCAGTTGGGTAAATGTTTTCATATTTCTTTCTGCATAAATCTCAAAACAGAGTTTTGTATTCAAAGAGGAGAAATTAATTTCCAATTGTCAATGTTTGTTGTTGTTTCAATTGTTAAAGTTCATTGTTCAAATCAACACCGTTTCTTATTTGACTGTCAACTTATATTGCATTTTAAAACCAGCCACTTTCATGGTTCATTACTTCTCAATTGCCTCACAATGAAGATATTTGGGTGGTGAATAGCTAACCATAACACACATGTATGCAAGTTCATGCATCACAAAAAAAATAATAAATTACCAGAGATATTTTTCTTCTAACTGTATTAATTATGCCATGAGTTCTTGCAAACAGTACCTTTTCTATAATAATTAATAACCTCAATTGCATAAAAATGACACGAAAACAAAACTTACCCACAGACAGGAATTTGCTGAAAGACAACTGGCGAAGAAATGAAACAGGGAGTACAGCATGCAGCAGGTGAAATTAATTGTCCCCTAATTAGGTGAATGTGCTCAGTGAATCTTACAATCTGGAAGCACCAAATGAAGTAAAGTAAGATTTTGTTGGTATATTTAGAAAATAGTAAGAATAACAATAATGGGGTCATCTCAAATTCTCATTTGCATAACAAACTAGCCTATTTCTTTTTTTTTTTTTTTTTTTTTTTGGAGCAAGAAAGGGGGTGGGGAAGGTGACATAATCTGAAAATATGATAACTTTTAATATCTCAACAACGAAAGCTGCACAAGCGAAAATTTTAACGGCACAAACCTGCACTAACCAAGCACTAAAAAAGTAGCCCACTTTGGTTTGTTTTGGTGCGTAATGGGGGGATGGTTACGTAATCGGCCAAAATTATAAATTTTAATATCTCAACAATGAAAGCTGCACAAACGAAAATTTTAACGGCACAAACCTGCACTAACCGAGCACTAAAAAAGTAGCCCACTTTGGTTTGTTTTGGGCTGTATGGGGGTGGTGGTGACGTCATCGGCCAATATTATAACTTTTAATATCTCAACAACGAAAGCTGCACAAACGACACATTTTAACGGCACAAACCTGCACTAACCGAGCACTAACGAACCAGCCCACTTTGGTTTGTTTTGGAGCTGTATGGGGGGATGGTGAACTCTGATGACCTAAAAAAATAACTTTTAATATCTCAACAATGAAAGCTGCACAAATGACAATTTTAACGGCACAAACCTGCACTAACCGAGCACTAAAAAAGTAGCCCACTTTGGTTTGTTTTGGTGCGTAATGGGGGGATGGTTACGTAATCGGCCAAAATTATAAATTTTAATATCTCAACAACGAAAGCTGCACAAACGAAAATTTTAACGGCACAAACCTGCACTAACCGAGCACTAAAAAAGTAGCGCACTTTGGTTTGTTTTGGTGCGTAATGGGGGGATGGTTACGTAATCGGCCAAAATTATAAATTTTAATATCTCAACAATGAAAGCTGCACAAACGAAAATTTTAACGGCACAAACCTGCACTAACCGAGCACTAAAAAAGTAGCCCACTTTGGTTTGTTTTGGGGCTGTATGGGGGTGGTGGTGACGTCATCGGCCAAAATTATAACTTTTAATATCTCAACAACGAAAGCTGCACAAACGACAATTTTAACGGCACAAACCTGCACTAACCGAGCACTAACGAACCAGCCCACTTTGGTTTGTTTTGGAGCTATATGGGGGGATGGTGAACTCTGATGACCTAAAAAAATAACTTTTAATATCTCAACAATGAAAGCTGCACAAACGACAATTTTAACGGCACAAACCTGCACTAACCGAGCACTAAAAAAGTAGCCCACTTTGGTTTGTTTTGGGGCTGTATGGGGGTGGTGGTGACGTCATCGGCCAAAATTATAACTTTTAATATCTCAACAACGAAAGCTGCACAAACGACAATTTTAACGGCACAAACCTGCACTAACCGAGCACTAACGAACCAGCCCACTTTGGTTTGTTTTGGAGCTATATGGGGGGATGGTGAACTCTGATGACCTAAAAAAATAACTTTTAATATCTCAACAATGAAAGCTGCACAAACGACAATTTTAACGGCACAAACCTGCACTAACCGAGCACTAAAAAAGTAGCCCACTTTGGTTTGTTTTGGTGCGTAATGGGGGGATGGTTACGTAATCGGCCAAAATTATAACTTTTAATATCTCAACAATGAAAGCTGCACAAACGACAATTTTAACGGCACAAACCTGCACTAACCGAGCACTAAAAAAGTAGCCCACTTTGGTTTGTTTTGGAGCTATATGGGGGGATGGTTACGTAATCGGCCAAAATTATAACTTTTAATATCTCAACAATGAAAGCTGCACAAACGACAATTTTAACGGCACAAACCTGCACTAACCGAGCACTAACGAACCAGCCCACTTTGGTTTGTTTTGGAGCTATATGGGGGGATGGTGAACTCTGATGACCTAAAAAAATAATTTTTAATATCTCGGAAACCAAAGCTGCACAAACGAAAATTTTAACGGCACAAACCTGCACTAACGGAGCACTAACCAATCAGACTATCTGCTGGATTTTATGACGTAGGTGGGGTGTCAGCTTCACGTAGGTGTAATACCTCTGTGTGTGTTGTAGACAGTGTGCGTGTGTGTGTGTGCGTGTGCGCGCATCCTCTGACCGACTGCAGCCAGAGAGCAGCAGCGCGCCTGCGCAGTGCATCCAGGGAAGCTCTGCTGAGATCGGTGCTGAAGCGGGGCGGATGGCTGGACAAACAGCGGCGATGGACACGGCTACACCGCGGGATTCCCGTTCGCCGCGTCTTTAAATAGGCGTCGCGACACCGCGTTTTCACCCCCCCATCACTGTACGGCAGTGACATCCCAGCGTGAAGGGGTAAGATTCCGACTTGCTAACCGGAGTTAGCCGCCGCCAGCCTGTCAAAGATAGCGGCTCTCGGGCTAAAAGCTAGCCAGCGAGAAAGTGGGTGGTGTTTGATTTCTGGAGAGACTCCGTGCGGCAGTCGGCGCCGAGCAGCTCCTCTGTTCGGCTGCTCTGTGACTCGACAGTGTCGGCTGGGAAGACTCCCACTGTTTCGGTGTCGGTCCGACGCGCGGCGACGGTTGGGGCAGCCAAAAACGACCCAGACCGAGCAGGACCAGCGGGCTAGCCAGCGCTGCTAGCGCGCTGGGTCCGCTGCGCGTGCCTGCTTCACATCTGAAGACATGCACGGGCCTTTTTTTTTTGTTTAAAAAGGCTGTTCCCGGCCGTGACAGTTCACCGAGTGTGTCGGAAATAAACCATCCTGCCAATTTTCTGCATGGGAAGACGATTCGACATTATTTCTCTCTCCTCTCTGTATATCTTATGGAACAGAGAGATCCTGCTGCACAGTTGAAGGAACACCCACACTGCAGTTTCCCATGGGTGTGTTGAGTCAGAGCAACGCAGGTTGAGTTGCAACTGCATCCTGGGACACTTCCTTGTAAATCCCATTAACTTTGTAGCCGCCACTGAAACACGGCAAACACTGCGAGCTCTCTTATCATCGCGTTTCAGACTGTCAGGGGGCAGATAT